TGGGTAACGTGGCTGCCGAGAAAATAGACTTTGCATATTCAGTTCCAATTTGGATTCTAAAATCCTTGTTGGTATTTTACTATAGAAAATAACATCTCATTCTTAAAAGGGTATCACGTTGCCGACGATTCCTTTTATGGACGTTCACTTTGCTAATCCAATTCGAAATTGGATTCAATCAAAAACTTCCATTAATATTTTATATAAATAAATATTTGTTATATATATCACATATATATTTCAACCAAGAGATATAATTTAATTTCTATAACATATAGAAAAGTTTAATTTGTTCACAATATTAATTATATCCTCTGTGCTAGCAAAGAATATAATAATATTTCATTTGGACTAATAACTAAATTTACTTGACTAATTAATCTTCAATTTAATTATCAAAAAATAAAGTAATTAATCTTTTAGCAAATATCAGAACACTCGTTAGTGTGCGACCCCGTAGGTTCAATACTAAACCGGTAGTAAATTGATCACATCAATATACTAATCAAGGGTGGCGTCTAGCAATACTCCTTAACGATCGGATAGCATGAAGTATACAATTTACTCTCAAGATGTCACGACCCAAACCCAGACCCGGTCGTGATGGCGCCTCTCGTGGGGACAAGGCCAGCCAACTAACTCAATTCATCCTTTTGAAACAGTTAAACAGTTCATAAGCAGTTTAAACATGACTTAATGATATTAATTAGCGGAAGTACAACCCAACACAACCCAAATCGGGGTGTCGCAAGTCACGAGCATCTATTAGAGTGTAAATACAACTACAAGGTCTAAAATGTACAAAACAGGAATAATGAACGAAAGAGAGAAAAAACGGTGATGCAAACGCCGGCAGTCACCTCGCTAAACTCCTATAACTCTGCCTTCGATCTGCCAAAACCCGCTACCGGGCGAATAAATACCCGCATCTGCACACGAGGTGCAGGGAGTAAAGTGAGTACTCCAACTCAGTGAGTAATAAAGGTAAATAACAACTGAGCAGTAAGAAATCACGTAAAGCAAACCATCATGCTGTATAGAAGCAGTGTAAGACCTTTTGAGAAAAACAATGAAGCTGTGAAATTCTTTGGAACAACTTAGCTCAGTTTAAACCTATTTTGAAAATGACTCTTTCAACAGTTACACAAATGAATGCTAAAAATAGTTAGTGCCGATAAGCACAGAAAATCCGCCCCTCGGGCACAAATACCACAGTATAACAGGTAAAATGACAAGTAAATATGAAAGATGAACACATAAAGGTTCGCCCCTCGGGCAATATCTCAAAACAGTACCAGCCCCTCGGGCTCACTCTCAGAACACTCTCAGCCCCTCGGGCTCTCTCCCACTCTCTCAGATCACTCTCAGAATAGTATCATATAATAACCGCTATGGCGTGCAGCCCGATCCACATATCGCTGCGGCGTGCAGCCCGATCCATATATATAGTCGACTGCGCTCACTAGGGGTGTGCAGACTCCGGAGGGGCCCCTTACGGCCCAAGCGCTATATCAAGCCACCTCGTGGCATCATCTCTCGGCACTCGGCCTCACATCACTCGGCACTCGGCCTCACATCACTCAAGCCACCTCGTGGCATATAAAAGTATCTCAGGCCCTCGGCCTCATATCACTTAGTATATCCTCACATATGGCCCTCGGCCTCACTCAGTCCAGAAACCATCACAAGCCCCTCGGGCATTTGTAAAACAATAGTGCTCAACCCAAAACATCATTAGAAATATCCTTTAAGTTTCAAATCTGAGTAAAAGTGGCTGAGTTTGTAAAACAGTATTAAACAATAGGACTGAGTTCAAGTAATATGTCAAAATAGTGAGGAAATAGTGATAACAATCCCCGAAGGGTTCAAATAGTTGGCACGAAGCCCAAGTATGGCAATCAGCCCAAATCATGATGAATACAATTAAGTTTCAGTCAAATATGCGGTAAAAACATCAATCGGGACGGACCAAGTCACAGTCCCCAATAGTGAAAGACCCCACGCTCATCATCGAGCGCGTGTCTCACCTCAATATAGCACTACGATGTGCAATCCGGGGTTTCAAACCCTCAGGATATCATTTACAATCATTACTCACCTCGAACCGGCGAAATCTCTAGCCCGCGATGCCTTTGCTCCTCAAATCGGCCTCAACGCACGTCGAATATACCCAAAATTAGAGCGAATACATCACAATATGCTAAAGGGAACAAAGCCCAAGCGAAAACAGTCAATTACGGGCAAAAATCCCGAAATTACCAAAACCCGAGCCCCGGGCCCACTTCTCGAAACTTAAAATTTTTTACATCATTAGATTCCTCATCTCCCCACGAGTTCAGACATATCAAAAGTTCTCAAATCCGACCTTAAATGGTCCTTCAAATCCCGATTCAAAAGTTCAATTTCTCAAGCCCTAGTTCTTCAATTTTAGGCTTAGTTTCCATGAATTTCTAGGTGGATTTCACAATAAAAACGAGTTTTAAGTTCAAAAATCTTACCTCCAAGTGTTATCTCTTGAATCCCTCTTCAATTCCCCTCAAGAAGCTCAAAAATCGCCCAAAAATGGTGAATATTAGCTCCAAAATCGCGGACAAGAGCTATTAAAACATTCTGCCCAGGCTTTAAAAGCCTTCTTCGCGAACGCGGTCCATCTCTCGCGAACGCGTAGCACTAAATTACGCTTACCATCTTTTACCTTACGTGAACGCGACATGCCAGTCGTGAACGCACTGCTTCCACAGTTTGAACTTCGCGGACGCGTTCGCTTCCACGCGAACGCGATGAACATTTGACCATCAGCTCCAGAACCTCTTTCGCGATCGCGTGTCCACACTCGCAAACGCGATGCAGCCTCTCTCAAACCTTCGCGAACGCGGCATAGAACCTCGCAAACGCGATGCTCATGAACCCGGGCCCTTCGCGAACGCGAGATCCCCTTCGCGAACGCGAAGGCCAAAAAATGCCTGCAACTGACCTGCAATTTTCTGAAGTTCTCAAAACATGCAATTGATCCGCTTAGCCTCCCGAAACACACTCGAGGCCCTCGGGACCTCAATCAAACCTACCAACATTACCCATAACATCATTCAAACTTGTTTCAATCGTCAAAACACCTCAAACAACATCAAATTACTCAAAACTTATCGAATTCAAGTCTAAGTTTCCAAAAACTTCCGAAATACACTTTCGATCAAAAACCCGACCAAACAACGTCCGAATGACCTGAAATTTTGTGCACACATCACAAATGACATAATGAAGCTACAAGAACTCTCGGAATTCCATTCCGACCCTCGGATCAAAATCTCACCTATCAACCGGAATTCGCCAAAAATACTAACCTTGCCAATTCAAGCCAAATCCTTCCACGGGCTTCCAAAATGCATTCCGATCGCGCTCCTAAGTCATAAATCACCTAACGGAGCTAGCCAAATCATAAAAATTCCGATCCGAGCTCATATACAAATAAGTCAACTCTTGGTCAAACCCCTTTCAAATGCATCAGTCATAATGCATTACACGGGGCAAGTCATGCCCGAGAACTGGCGATCAAAGTGCAAAAGCTCAAAACGACCGGTCGGGTCGTTACACAAGAACCAGTAGAAGAATAAAGTAATATTTCCTTCTATCCTTATAGCTCTGAGTCACCCCTAGAATATGGTTCAACTGTCAAATCCTAATAGGCGACCAACTATGTATGCATGTCAAATATAATCGACCATCGAATGACCTAAGAAACTCTTTTCTTCTTTTCATTCAATTGCCCTGGCCAAGGTCTTAATTTGGTCGTTTATAATTCATGACAACATGGAGCTTAAACTCATTACCAAGAGTTGACAGATTCCATCTTAATCAATCACTAATTCTACAAGCATTTAATCGAACCCAATATCCTTTCAAGTATCGCCCTAGGGTCATATGTGTCTAGTATCAAAGTACAATAAATAACTTATCAATTACTATGACGATATCAGGTCGAAGGAAACTCTTACAACATTCTTCAAGAGAATATCCTATTGACAGTTTATGGTAATTCTAACCATTAGGAATTATCCAATGAGTCGGTTCAATGACCATATCTCTATATGCTTCATCTATCTATGTGATTTATTTAATGAGATCAACTAATCTTTATCCAATAAAAATGATCACATAAATATTGATCTAACTGGATTACTAATGTCCAAATTAATAATCCTACGATCAAGGACAAATTTGGATTAAATTATAAGAAACTTCACTCTCATTATCATGATCTCCATCACGATGACAAGTCTCAAAATTAATCAAGGACCTTATCAAATTAATTAAATAATTAATAATAATGATAACAGAATATCAAATGCCATATATTTTTATACCAAATAACGTTCACAAAAAATGTTCAAATCATCAAATATGAGATTTGATCTAGGGCATATCTACTATATCCCTAACAGAACGAGCCTTCAACCCTGTTATATAAGGGCCAAAACAATCTCTTGCCAATTTTCAAATTCTTTTGTGCATTTATACGCATATATATTTGAGTACTGTAAAAGATATATACGAGGTTGTTGCTAGCTCCTCCTTCCTAGGTAGGCTTCATATCTATTTCTCTCAGTTATTTTCGTCTTTTATGAAAACTGGTTATTTAATCACCTCGATCTTACATTACTATCTCCACCATCTTCTTTATCGTTATAGGGCCGGGATGACACATATCAACCTGTTCCCTAGCTATTTTTCTGCGATTTAACGACCAAATGTCTGGTTGAATATGAAAGAACTGAACGTACATGCATGAAATGGAGTTTAATAGAGTTTAGGTGATATCGGCACACTTCAAATATCAAACCGTTACGATTGTGTTAAAACCGTTGCCATAGGTCTGTCTATTGTAACGACTTTGTAAACCGTCCCAAGATATTGCTTTACGGCAACGGTTGTATCATATTGGAAAGGGTATTTATTCCCTCCTGATTCCCCCCCTAAATTTTGCTATACCCGCGCCAAAACAAACCCAATATGTTTTTAAACTTTTCTTAATATAATACATTAAGAAACTTTTTGCTCAAACTTAAACCCATTAAACTTTTCTTTTTGCTCAAACATAAACCCATTTTCCCACAAATATCCCAAACCTAGCTATTTCCTCCAACCCATGATGCAATCCTCTGAAAACCCTCTTATTTTTCCCCCCATTCATCTCTGAAAAATCCAAACCCAAATTGAAGGAAGAGATCAGAAATTGCTAAAAGTTATCAAAAGAGCAAAGGCATCAGAAATTGATAAAAGATTTCAAGGAGCGAAGGCAGCGAGAAATTATAGCGAAGGCGGCGAGAAATTGCTAAAGTTAAAAAGCATTAAGGCAGCAATTACAGGTGCGAGAAATCGTCTTCAACTGCGAGCAATTTTCAATCCAGAAGGCACTCTGTTAGAAACCTATTTCAAGTGTAAGTTTTTCTTTTCCAATTTGGGTAATTTTTTCTTTAATCGTTCATTTTCTCATTAATCTTTAGAGTGTGAGTAGTGTATTTATTTTTTTGCTTTCTGGTGATGAATTGAACCCAAATTGTTGGGGTATTATTTTCGTTAGAGTGTGGCTAGTGTGAATTTATTTTTTTGTCGATATGGTGAATTTCTTTCTCTGAACTAAATTTCTCTGCAAATTGATGTTGTATTTTCTGTTGCATGAGCTATTTGGTATTTTCTGTTGCATGAAAAGAGTTGGGTCTATTAATATTGTATTTTCTGTTGCATGAACTAAGATTGTTTTTGTATCTATGGCAAAAAAGCTTTAATGTAGCTTTCTTTATATTCAGCTCGCAAGGAGGATTCATGGAGAAAGGGCTTAGGAATATATTTGTTGTTCTTATGCTTTATGGTTAATTTTGTGTTCTCTGTTTTAGGGGTTTGCTCGCAATTTTGTTGAAAGTTAGGATTAGCGGTGTAAATCAAAATGACTTGTTTCATATCCGCGGGCCTTGGAATGCGGATATGCTCAAGAATAAAGTATGGATATTTAAGCAATTGAGATAAACAGGGAAACATCAACTTATTTTCTCTTCAGCATTTGCAATCTGCCAACAACTTTTACCCTTTCTCCTTGTTAAGATAAGATGACATGGAATTTTTGTTTGCTCTTTCTATGTCAGTCCCATTTTAACGTTCACTTTAGTTTGTGTGAATGTAAGATTTTTTTTTGGTAATAGAACCATCTATTGCAACTCAACTTTGTTGAGTGTTAGATTACAGTTTGCATGACAATATTATCTTTTGGGAAAGGAACAGTTGATGGAAACTCAACATTGTTGAATGTTAGTGCAATAGTTCTATTGAAGTCCTTGAATGTTAGTGCATTAGTTCTATTAATATTGAAGTCCTTTTTGTCCTTGCTGAGGGAAGGAATCTACCTTTAAGACTTCTGAAAGTCACCTTTGTAGTTTTATCTTTCAAGATAATACAAGTCTTATAACTTGTTGAATCTTACTGCTATGTTCATTGTGTTACATTCTATGTTATCTGTTATGACACTCTTGGGCCTGTAGTAAGAAATATAATGCTAAAAGTATGATTGAACTAGAATCTGCTGGTGTTGAGTGTTGTTCACAGATTTGTTATCTGTTGTGACATTATTTGGCCTGTAGTAGGAAATATAATGCTGAAAGTGCGATCAGACTTGAACTTTTTGGTCTAGATTAGTAGCAATCGCCAATGGATTCCATCACTCCTGTATCACAAGCAGCTCATGAACGATCTCAGAATTCTACCAATCATGAAACAGCTGAAAAATTTAAGGAACAAGGCAAGTATATTTAAATTTAATCATAGAATTAACTAACAGTTGATTGGTGATTATCTTTGCTTTGTATTATTTCAGGTCCCTCCCAGCCAAAAAGAAAAAGAGGTCGTACTCAAATGCAAAGTGTTCACGGAAGGAAAGAGCGAATAGTAGTCGTGCTAAATGAGTGTAATCAATTCATTGTACTGATACAGTTGTAAAAGAGTTGGGTAGCTTCCTCGGCACAATCACAAGGAGTGGAACTTTTTGTCCTCTTAATGTATTTAATTGGAGGAAACTAGACACAAAAGATGATATGTGGAATATATCAAGGTTTGTAGTTCCCAGTTTTAATAAACGTGGATGATATTTCTTATTTTTTACACTAATCTTACTGCACTAAATTTATAGGAACAATATGACATTCCCGACGAGGCGAAACCATGAGTTTTTGAATCCATTCAGACTGCTTGGAGAAAGTATAAGAACCAGTTCAAGAAAAAGCATTTTGAAGCCTATGAATATGACAACCTTCGAATGGAGAACAGGCCGGCAGATGTTCCAGAATCTATCTTTAAGGATCTTCTTACATACTGGAATTCTGATCCCCTTAAGGTAATTACATGATCTTCTATGACCTTTCATATGTCTTGAATGACTGAACACTACATATGGAAAGTTGTCATGACTTTAAGAGCTGTTAAATTCACAAATATTGGCAGGAACAACCTCAACAGCTGGAAGTCATAAAAAAATTAGTTCTAAAATTATTTTGTAGGATAGATAGAATATTTTGGACACAGATGTGTGAATATACCGACATGTTCCTTCAATAATATCAAGTGTACTTCAGAAATCAAAACCTCCTTCTTCTTCTGAATATTCATGGTCAACGGATGATTTAAACACTGTTTGGGCATGAAATATGCTAGTTTGGCTGTAGGTATTTGCAAATATTAAGCCTCGCGTATTTGAATTCAAATAAAATATTGATATACTGGTTTGAAGGTGCATTTACATTGAATTATTGGGTTTTCACTCGCAAATCTTCATAGGCGTTTGGACAACACCTGATATAATTGAAAAAAGAGCAATTGAAGTTAGAAATTGAAAAAAGGAAGTTTGTAGGCAGTTGTCTTCGGACATGGACTTTACTTGGAACCTGAGTATATATTTACCTCACTGTAACTGTTATATATAATTTCTTGAAATGATCTTGATGGGAATGTTTTCCATGACAAAACACAGAGATTATTGCTTTTCTGCTCTCATGGAAAACTATTTTGTAAGGAATTATTCAACATCTCAGTTTTCCCGTTACGTTGCAAATTCAGCTGCAAAAGCTGGCTTTACTTCTCCATAGACTATAGAGCCATCTATGATCTACCTATTAATGAAACACTATATTTACAAAAGCCAGCTTGTAAACTTCCCTTCCCCTGTACATATACTTGCATATTTAGTAAGCTTTAACAAGTCTTGACCATTATAGAAATACTAAAGTATGATATCCGAAATGATTATTTACAGTTTCTTGTTGAAATTTCATGTGGTGAATTTCAGCAACACTTATGAAAGAAAGAGTGATGAAAGTTGACATGAACATCCGAAAGTGTGATGAAATATATAGGTGATGGATTTCCCTTTTTTTCCATTAGACGCCAGGTGTGTACGTGTGCGTGTGTGTGTGTGTGTGTATTGCTGCTGGACCTAACAGTAGGACTTGATTTCTCTTTACTGATTTCTGCTGCCCACTCATATATTTTCTTCCTTCTGTATCATTAATCCTTTTGTTAAGAACTTGCTTAATTCTCAAAAATTTTATTGACTCATTTATTTGCAGAAAATGTCCAAAACCAATACTGAGAGTCGAAAAAAGTTGAGGAATCCATATACTGTTGGCAGAACAAGTTTTCCTCTAACCCGTGAAGTTTGATCTTTTCTCTTAATACTTTTTTTTTAAAATATGAACTTGCTAACTTGAAAAGATTTTTTATACTAGTTTTTTTATGTAACCAGAAAAAAAAGAAGGAAACTTCTAATCTTGTAACAAGTAAGGATATCTTTGTCTACAAGAATAAGAAAATCCGGTCGAGTATACAAGGGTTTGGTCCTATGGAATTCAAGTAGGTGAATTTTTTGGGCAAGTTAAGCCTTATATTTCACCCTTACTGAAATACATTGTTGATTGCTAACCGATTCGTTTTTACTTCTAATCCCAAGACATTCTTTGTAAATATGTAAATTTCATTAATTAGCATCCTATTCCATGTGCCTCATTGAAGGTCAAGTATACAATCATCATATACAAATGAATCAATATATTTTTCAGTCCATGATACATTCAGAGTGTGATACATTCCTAAAAGAAGAGGAACTTCATCAGTGAGGGTCATTGGTGGAATGTTGTAGAAGGCAAGCATGTAAAGTAGCTAAAACAAAAGCCATTTAATGCTTTAACATGTTCTGCCTCATTTTAGCTACTGATTTCTTTTGATGAATGTCATGTCCTTTTCTTTTTACCTGGCACTTTGTGCTATGAGCATTCTTAGACCGGATTCTCTTGGAGGGTAATGACTTTATTTATCCTCTTTTGTAGGTGAAGTAGATCAAGAAATGGAAGATGAAGGCAGTGAAGATCTGGACCTTACTTAAGATAAATTTTGAATTGCTATAGATGAATGTTCTAGGAATCTTTTGTTTATCAAAAATTTGAAACTTACTCTCTTGAAATGTATATTAAAGTTATGCACTTGGGGTAACATTTTGATTTATGGATATTATTAGCTTGTTGGACAACTTAGATTATTAATAGATTCATTTTGTGATTTATTTAATTTTATTATATATATAAATGTTTATTTAGAAAAGGAGCTATATTTTTTCTTCAATTGAAGTGTTCCAATAGCCTACCAGAACCGTAGCAATAGGACACAAAATGGCGTTCCAATAGATAACGTGAACCGTTGCAATAGGTCTTGTAAACCGTAGCAATACAACATAAAACCGTTACAATAGCTAAAAGAAATCGTTGTTATATGCATACATAACCGTAACAATAGCTTACATAAGTGTAGCATTAAATAATATGGTAACGGTTATAAACCGTTGCATATGCACTATAGTAACAGTGTGAAACCGTTCCTGTTGGGAGGAATAATCGTTCCAACAGAGGAAGGGAAAATCGTTGCAATAGACCGCTCTATAGCAACGACGACGCAAACCGTTGCACAAACCGTTCCTATAGCTCTATCGACACGCGGACGAATGGGACGGTCTCTAAACCGTTCCAATATCTCTATGGCAACGGTTTTATTGTCTGTTGGAACGGTTTTCCATGTGTTACCATAGATCAATTTTCCAGTAGTGAATAAACAGTGACATAAAATAGTTTTTACATAATTAAATTACAACAACAGCATCAACAACCCAGTAAAATCCCACCAATGAGGTCTGGGGAGGGTAGTGTGCACGCAGACCTCACCCCTACTCCAATGGACACTACTGGAAAATCTGCCTATGGCAACGAATATTTTTGCAACGGTTCAGAAACCGTTGCTATAGAGTGCTTATGGCAACGGTTGTAACCGTTCCAATAAGACATAGGTATATTCGGCACACTTCAACCATAAACCCATCGCACTTGTGTGGAAACCGTTCCCATAGCTACTTTTTTGCAACGTTTCTTCTAAGCGTTCCTATAGACGAATCTATTGCAACAGATCTGGGAAAAAATTCAATGGGAACGGTTATTAGTCCCTCTTAATTCTTTCCCCCCCTAAATTTTTGTGAAACCCGCCAAAACCCCAAATTATTTATATTCTATTTTTTTACCTGCATTTTTTATGTAATAGTACTACTAATTAATTAAAAAGAAAAGGTAAAATATTAAGCTAGCCTCTCTCTCAAAGCTCACGCCCAATCTCTCTGCCAAACCTCGCCGCCGCCGGTGACACCTACGCTACTGACAGTCCCGGTGACACCCACGCCAGTGACAGTCCAACGCCAGTGACAGTCCCTCTGCCAACTTCCATTAAACCCACCAAATCTCAGCAAACAATTGTCAACAGTTGAGCCCTAATTCGCACCATAAACAACCAGCTCCTTCAAACAATTCGAACCATCCAATAAGTTTAGGTTTTTTTTTCTCGATTAAGCTCGGCTAACACGTCAAGTTTCACAGATCCGTAATTCAAGGTTTTTGCTCGATTCTCATAAATTTCTAATTTATTTCGTGCTCTTCTTTTACTAGTTTTGTAATTTCTCAACAGTTGAGCCCTAATTCGCTGATTTAATTTTGTAATTTCTCAACAATTGAGCCCTAATTCGCAAATTTCATTCCTCACTGAAGAAGAATTTGCCGATGGGTAGCTGTGGAATAAATATCATCGTAAGTTCCTTTACACCATATTAATTGATTTTAATTTTATTTTTGGGGTATTTGAGCGATATACTGTTATTGATTAGAAATACACAATTTTTATTGTGCTCTGATCTTTTTTCTTGGGGAATATTGTGCTGATAATTTCATTGATAGACTATTGGAACTCCGATTCCCATAAGGTAAACTTGAACACTGCAATAGCTGAATATGTTTTCCTTAAATAAAATTTAAAACTGGTTCGTGCATATGAAGATTTGCAGAATTCACTGTGCTTTTCTTCCTCTATTTGTCTAACTGTTAATTGTTAATGTGAAAAGTAAACTGTTTCAGTGAAAGTTCAGTACGGATTTGTTCACTGCCTTTTTTACTCTTATCTCAAATTATTTTCGATTTTTCTATTGGTGCTATTCTCGCCCTTGGGATGGAATTTTAAAGAAAACACTTATTCCATATAGTGTTTGCACCAAATATTTTTTGTGCTTCTGCTTTTTGAGTGAGCTTCTGTTGTATTTGTTACCTTCTTCCCCTAGATATATCGGTGGTGGTGGAATATGCATATTTATATAGTATATGTTATTGTCCTTGTGAATGTAAAAGTCATACCTGGGATTCCCATAACGTTAGAAAATATTTCCTTCATGGACTCATTCAGCAGATGTGGGGTAGTATATTGTTTGTAATTAATATTATATATACGAGTTTGATCTTTTAGCAAACAACAAAAACATACTTGTTTTCATTTGCTTTCTATCCTAGTATTTTGCATCTATCATTTGCTTTCTGGATTAGGTTAGATTTTCCCTGCACTTGAAACTGTTATTTCGTCAATCTGCTGGAATGTTAAATTCCTTTATGTATTTGATCGAATTATCCATGCACTTGAAATTATCTTTTTTTTGGGTTGACTTGCTGTGATGTTAAATTCCTTTTTTGGGTTTGGTAGAATTGTGCCTGCACTTGAAACTGGTTTGTTTTTGTCAATCGGCTGGAATGTTAAATTGGAGATTAGTTTTGTCCTTGGTCAAAGGAATTGATTGGCTTGGTTCATGTTTGATATTGGTTCGCCAGACATGTAACTCTTTAAGATCAAGTCTTTAGATTGTTATTAAGTGGCTAGCTGAGAAGTCGCCACTCTTTAGATTGTCACTAGATTGGCTAGTTAGGTTGTTTGACTATATGCTAAAGGCATCATATATGTATCCTGTAACTTTTGTTTTTGGATACCATTAATAGATGATAAGTGCCAACTTTGCCTCACTGTACATTGGTAGCCTGAAATAGCAACATAACAATAAATACCTGGTGAGTGATTATATTCTGAGGCTTTAACTTTCATATAACTTAACAACAGCTTTTGAAGAAGAACCATGCAAATTTCTTTTACAAATTAGAGTGTCTGAAATGCTTAATGCTATACTGTTGGTCTCCAAATCTATGCTGCCAAATCTTAAGTTATATTTTCATTGGTGCTGCCAAATTTATTGACTCATTTAACAATCCAAAACCAATATTGATGAATCGAAAAAAATTGAAGCATCCACACACTGCTGGCAAGACAAGTTTTGCTCTAGTCCGCGAGGTTTGATTGTTTATCTTTTTTTTACACTATCTATACCCAAGTAAGAATACACCATTGACCAGTTTTCAAGTGAAGATGTAGTTAAATTTTGTCCGCATCTTACTGGTAGTAATGATAGTTTGGCAAATTGGCACCAAATCGTCATAGTTCAGTATCTGGGAGGTGGCGTCATGTCTCAACTTGTTGTTTTCTTGCTACTTAAGTTTCATTATCATCTAAGAAGTGAAAGCTATCGTCCTGTCTCTTTATTACATTATGTTTATCACTTTTTAATTATGAACTTGTCAGCTTTACATGAAAAGTTTTTACTATATTTGTTTTTATTGTAACCAGGCAAAAAAGAAAGGAAACTTACTGATAATCTATCAAGTAAGAAAATACTTTGTGGCTACCAAAAAAGTAAACCTGGTCGAGTATACAAAAGCTCATACGAGGATACTATTAGTAAAATTGTACGAATTTTCTAATTTAATGCTTGGGAACAAGAAATTACACTTAATGTCGTTTCACAACTTCGACGCATGAATCCAGGATTACATATTGATCCTACATGCTGAATTTTAGTGCTCGTTCACATGGAGAAGCTTCATCTGCTCAAAAAAATGCTATTCAACTAATCAATCGCCTCTCTACTGGCAGTAACAATCGAGGTTAGTACTAACTCCAAATGTTACACCCCTTCTTTTCTNGTTGCAGAGATTGAGGGAGGAGAAGCTTTATGCAAAGTTCTCCAAGTGTGAGTTTTGGCTCAGTTCAGTGGCATTCTTGGGACACGTGGTGTCCAGTAAGGGTATTCAGGTTGATCCAAAGAAGATAGAGGCGGTGCAGAGTTGGCCCAGACCGTCCTCAGTCACAGAGATTCGTAGTTTTCTTCTATCGCACCGCCCTTGACCAAGTTGACTCAGAAGGGTGTTTCATTTGTATGGTCGGACGAGTGTGAGGAGAGCTTTCAGAAGCTCAAGACAGCTTTGACCACGGCTCCAGTGTTGGTTCTGCCATCAACTTCAGGTTCATATACCGTGTATTGTGATGCTTCGAGAGTAGGGATTGGTTGTGTGTTGATGCAGGAGCGTAGAGTTATTGCTTATGCTTCTCGTCAGTTGAAGCCCCATGAGAAGAACTACCCCGTTTATGATTTGGAGTTGGCTTCCATAGTTCACGCGTTGAAGATTTGGAGGCATTACTTGTATGGCATATCTTGTGAGGTATTCACTGATCATCGCATTCTTCAGTATTTGTTCAAGCAAAAGGATCTTAATTTGAGACAGCGGAGGGAGTTACTTAAGGATTATGACATCACTATATTGTACCATCCGGGAAAGGTCAATGTGATGGCCGATGCTTTGAGCCGAAAAACAGTGAGTATGGGGAGTTTGGCATACCTTCCAGTTGGGGAGAGACCTCTTGCGGTTGATGTTCAGGCTTTGTCCAATCGGTTCGTGAGGTTGGATATTTCGGAGCCCAGTCGGATATTGGCTTGTGTCGTTTCTCGGTCTTCCCTATACGAGCGCATCAGAGAGCGCCAGTATGATGATCCACATTTGCTCGTCCTTAGGGACAGAGTTCAGCATGATGATGCCAGGATGTGTCTATTAGAGATGATGGAGTATTGAGGATGCAGGACCTGATTTGTGTGCCCAATGTAGATGGGCTTCGGGAGCTGATTCTGGAGGAGGCCCATAGCTCGCGGTATTCTATTCATCCAGGAGCCGCGAAGATGTATCAGGATCTTAGACAGCATTACTGGTGGCGGAGAATGAAGAAAGATATTGTGGGGTTTGTAGCTCGGTGTCTCAATTGTCAGCAGGTGAAATATGAACATCAGAGGCCGGGTG